TCGAACATATCCAAGACGGTGTCAGGCATTATCGTGTGCGCATCAAGAATCCCAATGAGATGCCTGTTGAATTGAATAATGAGATGCCCGTTAATGGTTTGCCCGAAATGAATGCAGAGAATGTTGAAGACCGCCATGTTGTCAATGGAGACTCGTACGCTTCACGGGCGGCGAGAACTGTTTCCTACGATTACCCGCCACGACAAGAGAGAGCTAGGTTCTCCGAGAATGTAATGCCACAGTGGCCAAGAACGGCCTTATTAATGCCGAGCAAAAATACAACGGCCAAGTCGGTCTTCGAAGCTTTGGAGAATGCTGAAATCGACGTGATGGAAATTGCATGCTTGTAAAGAACGATGAATGGGGAGGTCACCGTCACATTCAAGTCCATTTCGGCAAAGGAGAAATTCCTCTGACTGAACTCACTGCAGGTCGACGCCGAGCATTTTGCTTTGCAAGACGTCGACAAACCATTGACCTTCTTCACGATTTACGACGCTCCCTTCGAGCTGTCCGATCTGGCCATAATCAAGCGCCTCTCGCCATATTGCGAAGTCCTCCATTACCGTTGGGGTAAGCATTCGTTGGCTCCCAATATTTATAATGGCCTCTGTCATTACCGGGTCAGGATTTCCAAACCGATCCCCAGCTTCCTCCGGTTTGGTAACTTTCAAGTGTTTGTAAAACATAGTTCTCAAGTCCCTACGTGTCGTAAGTGTAATCGTCGTGGTCACTTTAGTAATGTTTGTCCTAACCGTGTGTGTTTTAATTGTGAGGGTCTCGGCCATGAGGCCTGTGAGTGTCCTTGTCCTGTTTTGTGCTGTCTGTGTAAGGAGGAAGGTCATCTGGGGATCAATTGTACATACTCGTGGTTCTGTTCTACGGTCTCTCCAACTGACGAGCAGGACGATGTCGCGGTAGAATCTGACGACGATGATGCTTTGAACGATTGCTCCTATGGTCGAGGCACAGATTATCTACTTCCCTCCTCCCCCTTAATCTCTGAAACTCCTTCCCCCGCTGATGTGCCTGTTGACGATACCTCTTCTATTCCTGATGCTGCTCTATCCGACTCTAGCGATTCGCCTTTGGTTTCTTCTCCCGATTCTCCAGTTCTTAATACTGATGGCCTTGTAAAATCTGTTCAATCTGTGCCCGACCCGCCGCGACATCGTATTCCTGCTCTTCTTTCTGACTCTCTCTCAGCCACTTCTAGACGTTCTTCTTCACCTCTTTCTGTAAAACCAACTCCTTCTCTTCTTTCTGAACCTGTTGCCGATCCTTCTTCATCGCCGCCCAACTCCTTGGACAACGGTATGGACGTCACCATGGACCTGAAGAGGAAATTGGCGGACGCGTCCCCGAAGCACACAAAGAAAGGAAAGAAAAAACCTGCTCATAAGTGAGTTTAGTTTTCATGCGTGAGTCTTTTTTTGCAAGAGTTTTCTTTTTAAGCTTTTAACTGTCAATGCAAGGGGCTTTGTTAACCCCCTTACTCATAATTTTTTGTTCGATTCGATCGAGTCTTCCAATTGTGATGTTTGTTTTGTTCAAGAAACTTTAGTCAGTTCCGAATCCACTATTAAATCCCTGTCTTGCAGATGGCTGGGGTGTAGTTTTTGGTCTCCAGCCTCTGGTAGAGAGGGTGGTGTGGTCACTTTGATTTCATTGAAATGTTCAGATGAAATTGTCTCTTGGAAAAAGGACTCACATGGTTGTATTGTCAGTATTTTGATCAGGAACAACGATGTAGATGTTAATTTAGTTAATATTTACCCTCCCACTAATGTTGCAGAGCGAAAGATTTTCTTTCATTCTCTTCACAAATGTTTTATTCCTTCCGCTGCAATCATCATCGGATGTAATAACATATTAGACCTAGT